AGAAAAATCATTGCTCCTCAAATGCACACAGTGAGATGGTAATGGTTTCAGTTTGCCTTTGCGTAACTGGAAACATCTTTACATTACTAAAGAGCATTACATAAAGGGTGCCTTTTTTTGCCCTTAAATAAAATATTAGGTAGAATATATATCTATTAATTCTAAGACAAACATGTTTGTTGAAAGAACAAATCTGGAGACAGAAATACAGATAAGATTTTTTTAGAATTTTTTTATCCCATTACTTAGTCCATACTACATAATTTTTATGTAGTACAATTCCATGACTAGACCTGTACTATTAGGATTGTTACGATCTCTATCCCTTTTTTGTCACTTTGATCAGCCTTCATAATTTACATAATTTTTATTACTACAATTCCATGACTAGACCTGTACTATTAGGATTGTTACGACCTCTATCCCTTTTTTGTCACTTTGATCAGCCTTCAGTGGTGAATATGAATTTCTGTTTCATACAGCTAGTGACATACAGTTTTGCTTACTAAGTTTCATGAAAAGATTCTCCTATGGCTGTTTGGAATATATTAATCTCTTCAAAGAATATAATACTAGTATCTATAATTTTAGAGATATAGTTTTAATTGGACTTATTAGGGAATGATTTTATTGCTCAAATATTATTGGACTGAAAAAGTATCATAAAATAGTTGTTTATCACCATCGCTCAGTATTATCTGACAATTGTACAATCTAAGCGGTTATGGAACTACACTTACCTGTTAGACCTCCCAATTTACATGGGAAGATTCCTTTTGCAAGATTAGAATCCTCCATAACTATAGCGAGATGAAAAGATGTAAACAGGGAAACATTGGACTAAATAGATGTTAACATTTAATGAACTTCACACTGTATTTCTTTAAATTAAACATTTTTGCCTAGGCTAAAAGCCAAGTTTAACCTCTAACATAATACAACAGAGATATTTGAGACCATAAACAATATGTTTGGGGAATGTTTAGTATCTAATGCATTTGTTGATACTGGTCACTCCATCATTGTTCCTATATCCCATCACCTGACATTTCTTGGAGGCTGAAAATCTACAGCATAGCTAACAATGTACAAGTTCTTTTGAGACATTGAACAGAACTGTATAAGGATGTGGATCTGTTGAACAAACAAGAATGGAATACTTGAAAGTCATGGTAAATTATATCTGGAACTGTACTGCTGTTATTGCTCTTATTCTAAAATAACTACATGTGAGTAGTATTAAAAAAGATTAAATTCATACATGCATTAAATTCCAGAAAAGGTTTTATCTTCCAAACCACAGTGATCAGTTACCTCAGTACAATTCACACTAACATGGTAGTAGTATAGCATATTTGGGCACTACTATTTAAAAAAAAACAGTCTAGGTTCTTCCCACAGGTAGCATAATAAAACTAGATTGGATGAAATTTCTTATCTGTAAATAGAAAGCAATTTATAGGATAAAGATAGGGCAGCATATCAACATTGTCACATTTCTCTAGCAAAAATAAGAAGCCAGATATACAGTAATTCTTAATGTGATCTGCTTGATACTGGTTTATCATAATGTGCGATCTCAACTATTATGCCATGAAGCATTATCTTAAGGCTTCAGTCAATACGGTGTTGCTTTGGGGGAAGGGAGGATGTCTGCCCCAGGTACCTGCAGTAAGGGTGGTTCTGCCAAAGACACAAGGAGGCTAATTTTGAGGCAGCTAGAAATGAGTGCTGAAGAAAGTCATTGGTGTCAATGTGTCGGGCAACTGTTTGGCAGCAGCACAGCAGTAATAGAAGAAAAAAATGTGCCTTCAAGTTAGTTTTGACTCCTAGTGATTGTCCCCCACAGTTCTCTTGGCAAGATTTCGGAAGTAGTTTGCTTTTGTGTTCTTCCTAGGCCTGAGAGAGATTGACTGGTCCAAGGACACCAGATGTGGGACAAGAACTTATAGTTTCCACAGTTTCTAGCTTGGCTCTCAGCAGTGTGTGTGTGTGTGTGTGTGTGTGTGTGTGTGTGTGTGTGTGTTTTAAAAATTTATCTGTTCACTTCAGGTGACAAATAACCTAGGTACATTACTGATGATCCCAACTATTCAGGCTAGTTTTGCAGACATGGCTAAAACATAGAATGTGTCTCCGGCAGGGGTGGGTTCTAAATATTTTTAATACCGGTTCTGTGGGTGTGGCTTATTTTATAGGTGTGTCTTGGAGGTCATGTGACTAGGTGGGCGTGGCTAGCTGGTCAGAATCATTTCTGGAAGGTCCTCGCACTTACGACCAGTCCTCGCACTTATGACCCGACTCATTTGTTTGCTTTTAACACTGATCAGCTGTAGGATGGCCCTTTGAAGCCCCGCAGCAAGATTTTAAACAGTTTTTTTCCCTCTAGTCATCAGCTGGGACTCAGGAGGCAGCAATAGATTGGGGGTGGGACCAAATAAAAGGTAAGAATAACGTGGGTGGGTGGGAGGGTGGGGGGGGAACCGGTTCGGTGACGTCATATTGTCACAGCTACCGGCTCGGCCAAACTGGACCAAACCGGGAGGAACCCACCACTGGTCTCCGGTCACTTAATGAATTTTATTGACCAAATCTTGCCAAATTTATTTCAACAAATAATTTAATACATAATATGGTTGAAATGGTGCATTTGGATTTAATATGAACAACTTTACACTAAAGATGCATCATTTTTTTTTCCTTTCAGAAGTTAGCATCTATAAGATGATATATTTTTCACTTTCAAACCCAAGGAAGTTACTCTTAACATTGTAAAGTAAGAATTAAAACATTAAGAGGAAGCCCAAAAGAAAAAGGTACACCAAAGCATATTCTATAGATGGCAGATATGAGATGGTTAAGTGTGCTGTATTCCCTGATGTTCACAGGGGATATAAAAAAAATCAAGATAGTGGGTGAGAAAATGTAATTGAAGCTCCATAGTTTTTTGTTTTTTTTTTACAATCAGATGATGCATACTAAAAAAAAGGAAGGGTTTTCTGTATTCATTCCTATCCCTGACATGTTAAAGTTTCCTCCTGGATGTCCATGTCTCAGTCTTCCTTTTGAATGATTCTAGTTCTCTCAAAGATCTTATAATTTATTTGTACTCATTTAGTCTAAATTCAGTCAACTGTCTGAATAATAATAATAATAATAATAATAATAATAATAATAATAATAATAATTTTATTTCTATACCGCCCTTCTACCGAAGGACTCAGGGCGGTGTACAGCCTATTAAAAACACAAAACAACATCAGTTAAAATAGTTTAAAATTATTAAATGAATTCGGCTAAATTTTAAAACCCCAGAAATTTAAAACCCAATTTAAAATTGTTATGTTGATAGCCCAGCCTGGCGGAACAACAGGGTCTTGAGTGCACAATGAAATACCCGGAGGTCGGAGATCTTACGTATTTCCGGGAGCAGTTCATTCCACAGGGCTGGGGCTCCCACAGAGAAGGCCCTCCCCCTGGGTGTCGCCAGCCGACATAACTTGGCCGATGGCACCCTGAGGAGGCCCTCTCTGTGGGAGCGAACTGGCTGGTGGGAGGCTATTGGTGGCAGAAGTATACATTGCATCTACATACTAAGTTTCTTTGTACTGAAAAATTTACTATGAACAGACTACTTGGAAAGTTCAGAGCATTGTAGATTAAAAACTAGTGTCATATATCAGCTGGATTCAGAGACTAGGTATAATCAACCAATATCAGTACCGTGACCAGTTATAAATCTTAATGAATGGGTTTTAATAAAACACTTTCATCATGAGCTATCTTATAAGTTTGTTATCTCACAGGTTTATTATGTTGATGTCTGAACAAAAGAAACTGATCTACATGTGAAAAGCTAATTAATAATTCAAAAAGGCTTCTAGATGGCTGCCAGACTATTTCCATTATTTTCTTACTTTCTCTTTTTTGATAGGCGTTAACACAAATTCTGCTGCTACAGCTATAGAGTAATATAGAGCTACAGTTCAATAAAGGAGAATATTTGTAACTCAGGGTTGAATTACTTGTTTTCTTGCATACGTTTCATTACCCAAACTAGATAACATAATCAGTAATAATCTAGTTTGGATAATAAAACATCTGCAAGAAAACATTCAAGCTCAAGAGAGCACCAAGGACCTCTCATAGAGCTACAGACTCTGAGAAACAAAATACTTTATCATCTACTACAGAAGCATAAGAATCTTTGTATTATACATATGGAGTCACAACTTATCCCATGTCCTCATTAACGTTAAGTTTAGCATTTATGTATTATGATGACAATAGCATGCCAGGGTTTTAATCTGATGTAATTTTGATTATAGGCTATATATTCTAAGTACATTTTAAATTTTCAATTCCATACCTTGTGGAAATACTAAAGAAAATTACCGTTAAAAATGCTGATTCATATTTTGAGTATTATTTATAGCAGATCTTAGTTATTTTCTTATTTAAATATATTATTTCATTTTCTTGAATACTGTTCTAGAGGGTTTTCAGGCTGTTCAAGTATTACATAGACTCTTTATTTTATGACCAATTGAATTATTTACGTTTGTTAGTCACAAAATTTACCAATTTTGTTGTTGGTACCAAGGTACTTGAGCAGCACTCAGTTGTGTCATTATCATAATAATTTCTGAAATTAAAACCTGCCTAAAACTCTGTGGAAAGCTAACAACCAGTTCATTAACCATTCCTGTTAGTTTTCAATAATGCAAAAATGATTAGAAGTTTAATTTGTTAATCACCTGTGTTTTGACTGGCAGTAGTATATGATTCTCTGCAGAAGTCTAAACTAGCCCTTGCAGAAAATAAAACATGCTAATGCTTTATCAGGCCTAATAATATTTTTTTAAAAAAATTATCACACCTGGGTAAATCATTGACGGTTATACAATTAATTTCTCCTTAACTCAATTTAATTTTAGAGGCAATGATGAATACATCTAGGAGAACAGTCTATCATCAATAAGATTTAGTACTTCACTCACCAATCATGTGGTTTGCAACATGAACCTGGATATCCCACTCATTGTAGAAAACCATCTGGCACTTGATGCACTGATAGGTCTTTTTCTAGAGAAAACAAGGGTGAAGGTCTTAATGAAGGAACTTGTACATTCTCACTCTCAACATTTATGTGAAAAAATACCAAGATGATATGAAGCCATTTTAATATATTAATGCAGAATCATTTATTACTCATGTTATCATCCAGGTGATAAAAATAAAATTTTAGATTTCTTCAACTATTCAAAAATTCACAAAAACAGAGGAGTAATATGCTCATCACCATTTGACACCTCTTCAAAATGACCAGCTTGCCAAGCAATTATGTACAGCAAGCTACAGCACAGCAAATTGAATATTCTCAATATAATTTTTCATCTATCTTAATACAAACTGTATTATGGCTTATGTTCTACTCCCAATATAACAACTGATTTCCTTAACTGCTATGGGGATTAAATCTCAATAAAATATAAGTATTAATAGCTTGTATTATAGTTTTAGGTAGTAATAGTATCTGAGGCACCTGACCTATGGAACCTCATTTTCTGTCCACCCTTCCCCAGCCAGCTGGCCTTGACCTTGTTGGCCTTTGCTATCTGGCCTGGGGATCAGAGTGGTGTAGAGCCCTTAAAATGGTTGTACTGTTTGTGCATTACTGGTCTTGCACAATATGGTTTAGGATTTGAACTATATGTATGGTTGTATTGTATTCTGTGTTTTTTGGTGTTAGGTTTTAATGGTAAGCCTTTCAGAGTCATGAAGTAACCAAATGAGTGAATGAATGAGTGAGTCAATGAATGACTTAATGAATGAAAGAAAGAAAGAAAGAAAGAAAGAAAGAAAGAAAGAAAGAAAGAAAGATATTGAATCTTATGCAGAAGAATCCACAAACACTGCTATTTACCAATAAACCTGCTTATAACATTCTATAACTATTTGCAAACTTAGAGGAATATTCTTTTAATACAATGCATTGTACTGTTCCACAATACAGAAAATGTTTAAGGTCTTCTTCTAAAAGAATATAAAATAATTATATTGTGGGAACATATCCAGGACTCTTGTTTATTTTTTAGGGTTTTAATTGTCATTATTGCTATCCTAACGTATTTCTAACTAAGCAACAGCTCATATTTGATTGATAGCAACTTAAATAAAAAATATAAAAGTAGCAAAATAGTAAACAGCATTTGATCTAAGATAACAGAAAAATGATCAATATCGTACATTATGGATTTATAGTGATTTCCAATGATGTTTATGTAGACAGATATATTGTTGAATTACTTTCTGAGAACAAAACTAAGGTCATTTTTAATAAGGCTGATTATTTAATGTGTTCTGCTATTTTACTTAAGTTGGATTTTATATGCACTGGGATCAAAACATCTCATTCTTAAATGTATTTCATTTAATTAAAATTAGAATTGATATAATTGATTCTTTAAAAATTGTTGATCTTCATTAGTAGAAAATCCTTGGCATATCAAACTACATTTCCTAACAGACTCCATGAATTTTTAAGAGTTCCTAGTACATTTAAAGATTCACTTTCATTTACCAAATATTAATTTCTTATTCCAAATACCTGCAAGTATATGAAAATTACATTATGCAGAAAAGTAGGTTATTATTATAGAAAAATAATCCACCAAAATACATCAAACTAACATATACTTGCTTAATGTAATTTAAGTTAAGTGTATGTTTCAGCAGCATATTTTATAATTTAAAAATATAGGTTGATTGACATGAGACTAGTTAAATGTACTGGTGACTTAAAAGTTGATATTTAAGAACCTTTTGAAATGTAAGCAATACTAGTGTTTGATTAATAGCACTGCCAAAATAACTTTTCATTTCTGTGATTTTTTTTAAAAAAATTCTCTTTTGTTAGATAAATCTGAAGAATCTAATAAGTGATCACGTATTTTTATTTCTTAGTCAAATATGTTTTTGCCTTTATCATTAAGCTTTGAATAAAGAATAAAAAATACTTTAGCATTGTGTCATTGTATTCATATGTCATTATTTTTCTTGTCAGTTGCTGACATGCCCTATGTTTTATTATTCTAATGAGAGAAAAAAGGCCAGGCATTCAGTTTAAAAAAAAAAAATTTTTTTTTTTGCTTTGATAAAGTCACATATCAGGAATAATGCTAAGGCTAAGCTAATAAACCATATATATGCTGGTTTAGTACTGATCATCTGGGAGCAAGAAATATTTTCTAACTAGTTCTAAGGGGAAATGTTTTTAAAGGGGAGACTCTTACACTGTGTATGTTGGTCTGAATCTCAGCATCAAAAGCATCTGGATGCTACCATAACAGAGCTCTGAGAAAGTTGGTGCTTAAAGTCTGTTTCAGATACAACTTTAATAGAATACGCCTGCATTTTTCTACCTAAAATCAATATTTAGGTCCATCTTATTATATTTAAAGAGTAAATAACAGGCCCATTTGGTGGTAAAATTAAACTGAAATTAGATTTGCAATGCATTCATTGTTATTTATTCAAAAGCACCAATTCATTTAAAGTTAGTTATAACAAACTGCCTGTGAAAGCAGTGGCATTTAAAGTAGTTATGACTAACTTGTTCTAGTAGTTTGAACGAGACTATTTATTCATCTAATAAAGATTTTTCCCCCCTGCTGTTCTAGGGCTTTAGAGCTGCTTATAAAAATTTAACATCGTAATAGCTTATTAAACAATACATTCAAGAAACGTACAGCAGAAGAAAGGATCACAGGTAAAACACAGTTTTTATTTAAAGCATCAAGTACTTGGCAAAGCAAAAATCTGTCAGAAAATAACTGCCTTTATCAATCAGAAAACAGAAAATGCATCTGTTCTTCAAGGGACCACCGTTCCATAGCACTGGTGGAGCTCTATCATTAGTCATCATAATGTAGCATGTTACCAATCTATTAGAAAGGAGACTTTCCTTAGGATTTTAGAAAGATTAGAGTAAGAAAATCAGTGTCTTGGAAAACTGTGCAGCAGGAAAGCATTCTCTCTTCATTCTGAGCTGATCTTGATTTAACATATGGTTTTTAAAATCTTAATCTGTGTAGTTTTAATATTTTAATTATGTTTCTATTTGTTTTATAAACCTGTAAACTGTCCAGAGTTACAAGGGAGATACCATAGGTGGCATAAAAATTTAATAAATAAAGAATTCTCAATATTCACCATAGATACTCTGTGGAACAGTGGAACAGTGGAAGAGCATGGTTTCTTTGTCCCTATCAAATTACAGTACTTGATTTAATATGTACCCTAATATGTGTTTGGTGGATTCATCTGGGGTTTTCCTGTCTTCTTGTTCAAGTAACAATGGGGTCCATGCTGCCTCATCAACATTAATCCTCTGGAAAATTAGGGAACTCTTTTGCTTCCACCAGCAGGGAGACATGTTGAATTCTGTCAATCACCCAATTAGATCATTGACACATTTCCTTATTCCAGAGTCACTCAAGCCACATATGATGGTAAGACATCTCAAATGGGAAGAATTTTTATTGTTTAGAAATTTAAAGGAGATCTGTTGTATCAAGAAGCCTTTGGAGGGGAAAAACTATTAACAGGAAAAGGCATTTAATGCTTGGAAACTCAAAATAAACAAAACCACAGGAAGAGTCTTCAGTGAAAAAGTTGTTGCCCCAAAATACAAAGTGAAGCAACTCTTCAATCTATTGAAAGTGATATTAACTTGGCAAACTCTATAGATATGTATGTAGGCAGAATGAGCAATAAATGCAAGATGAAACTAAAAGTTAATTGTGGCAGGCAAGTTGCATTTATCCTATGCAAGAGTAATACAGTATGTCTGGTACATTTAACTGTTTGAGTGGCCCAGAGTCACATATTGAGATGGATGACAATATTTGATAAATAAAGGTTTGCTTTTATTATTGTTTGCTTATATTTCCTACACACACACTTCAGTAAAAAGGCAAAAAATGTCTATGCTTATATCCAAACAAAACAAAACCTTATAGCTGTGCCCCTAGAGGTTTTATTATTTAAGGATGTGGGAAACATAGCACTGCTATCTTTGTTTAGGTTTAAACAAATATTGCAAATATCCCATCTAAATCATTCATTCAGAAATTATCTTGGAAGCATTTAATGTATTTTATATATTAACAAGAAAAAAACTTCATTACATGAATGTTGTAACTATTTCTTCTTTCTTCAGAATAACTATGACAGTTCAAATAAAAGTTAAAATCTAGTTCACGATATTGGCTCCTATAGTTCATGTCTCATGAACTATTAGACTTTTAGAAGCCTAAAAGTCTTCTAATATTCTACCAATTTTTCCCATATTTATTTCTTCTGTAAGAAGGATTTCTTGCTTCTTTGCATCTTCTGGGTCAGTACACTGCATGTTTATCTTATTTAGTAGAATGCAGGCAACAGTACAATGATATAAAACACAGTTTCCAGTTTAGAGATGCAAGTATGTATAGATGAGTGTATTTAAATAACACTGGGCTTGGTTTGTGCTTGTAATATACCTAAAACATTGTTCTTGCTCTTGCAGGGAATGCTGCTAGAGGCATAGGCATGTTGGCTATGGCTAAGGCTGAGGGCCTAGATTTTATCTTTGGTCAAAGTATGATGATTAGCATCAATAGTTACAGGATCATCTGATAATCAGAACAGCATGGGGAAGAATATAAACTGAAATAATAGTTTGAGCTTACAATCAACTCAATAGATTACAGTAAATATTAAACAAAATGTAGGATAAAATGAGTATGAAACTTTGTGAAAATTAATGTATCAAAGATAAAATTGTTAGGTTAACATGGAAAATGGAATGAAGAATTGAAAGTTATATATAAAGTATGAAAAAATAGGACAAGTTAATGAATTTGGTATCTTAGTAATATATTTACCAAAGATGAAGAATAGATGGAAAAATATGTAGAAATGCAATATTGGTAGAAAGGAAGTGGGTAGGCTATTTACTGTTGTGATGAATTATTGTCTGTTGAAAGAAGTGAAAATGACTCCTTATAAGAGTTTTGTACACTTTACTATATGGAAGTGAA